AGCTCAGGTTGACCGACGTAAATACTACAAGTTCTACAAGGTTAGTATACCTCCTTGAGGATGAGTTTGGCTCAAACCCTTTTTAAAATTGAATTAATACCTAATGCCCGGCCTGTTAACCAAAGAATGAGACCAATTCCGCCGAATTTAAAAGAAAATTTGCGCGTGCAACTTGATTTATGGTTAAAAAATGAAGTAATAGAACCCAGCTCGTCTCCCTGGTCCTCGCTCTTGGTCCCCGTGACCAAGAAGAACGGGGAGACACGCTGGGTTTTAGATTTCCGCCGGGTCAATGACCTCACCGTGACCGATAGCTTCCCCACCCCTAATATTTCTGAAATTTTAAATTCTTTAGGTAAATCTAGGTATTTTTCTACGCTTGACGCGTCTAATGCCTATCATACCATAGAGATAGAGGAGAGCTCCAGACCAATAACTGCTTTTGCAACGGCGTTCGGTCTTTACCAGTTCTTGCGTATGCCCTTTGGGCTAAAGAACGCGGGAGCTTCTTATTGTAGGTTTGTACAGAGACTAGTGGATGTTTTAGGTGTACCTGGAATAGCTGACTATTTAGATGATATTCTCATGCATAGCGAGGATCTAGATACTCATGTTAATTTATTAAGATTAGTTTTTGATGCCCACAAAGAAGCAGGAATCAGACTGAACGCGAGTAAAACACATTTATTTCAGGAAGAAGTTGAATATCTAGGTCATCTGGTCAACGCTGAATCGTGATTTTTTACCAGGTTTCGCAAATGTTACAGCTGAACTAAACAGTGTTAAAAATAATAGGTTGATGATATGGACGCCAGACATGATTAATAATTTTAATACTTTAAAACAGATGTTTGCAGCAGCCCCATGCAGAGCCACACCAGACTTCTCTCCAACAGCTAAACCTTTTATTTTAACAATAGATTTTTCTAAAACTGCAATTGGTGCAGTTTTGTCTCAGGAGCAAGAAAATATTGAAAAATTTTTAGGTGTTAAAGGGCGAAAATGCAGAAATTATGAAAGTAATTATCATAGTTACAAAGGGGAACTCTTAGCATTGGTATATGGATTAACTAAATTTGAATCATTGTTAAGGTTGAATCAGTTCATTGTCGTGACGGACTCCACAACGGTGCTTCACTGGTCAACCATGAAGGACTCGGGTGGAACTATCAGGCGATGGCTAGATTATATACAACAATTTAATTTTACAGTAATGCATCGTGCAGGTAAAACAAATATTAATGCCGATTTAATCTCCAGAGCAACACATATGGATGACCCCCCCCCCTCTGATAAAGATTCAATTACACAAGGTAACCAAGACATGTTCCCCCTGCCCTGGAAACAATTAAAAGTTGGTGAAAAGCCGAATTTAATGGACATGAACCAGGTAAGTATGTCAAAAATGAACAATTGTCCCAGTTCAGAATATTTACCCCCCTCGTGTGAAGGTAAGATATGTACAATTGTTCAACCACCTTGGCACCTATTAGGGACCCGGGCAGATGAAGAAAGGGGTCCCCCTTTAATAGGAACTTTTAAAGGTAAGATCTTAATTGATCAGGTAGACCTAGAGAAAGCACAGAATGATGATAGTGCTCTGCTTATGGTGAAAACTTGGTTCAACTTAAATACAGGTAAAGTTGATGAAAAGAAAATTGACACTTCAACTTTCGAAGAAGTACATGAGGATGTACTGCAACTGTACAAGGTAAGAAAACAGCTCAGATTAACCGACGCAAATACAACAAGCTCCACCAGGTTAGTATATCTCCTTGAAAACGAGTTTGACACAAATCCTCGAATGAGAATTGTCATCCCACCCTCGCACAGGTATCAAGCTCTACTAGCTGTACATGTTTGTGAACATTGGGGTGTACAGCGTACTACACAACAGGTAAAAGAGCATTTTTTTGGCCAGGATGGAGAGCTGACACAGCACAGTTTGTAACAGAGTGCCCTGGCTGTCTACACAGAGAACAGGTAAACCTGAAGCAGGTCGACCCATACGATGGATGAGTAATCAATGTCAATGAAGTAATTTGCGTTGATCTGGTAGTAAAAAGATAGTGCACCCGTGTAAAATGTAGTGTTAGTGTTGTACTGAATAGTTGATTTTAACGCTAATAATGCAATTTTGTCTTTTTAAAGCGAATATTCAAATCCAATTATCTTCTAAGTTCTTTAAGATATTGAGCTGAAATTTTCAGATAATACTCACAAAATATAGTGTAATGGGAAAAACTACCGCGCTCCTCGCGCGCGGCATTTTTTAAAAAAAGGTTAAATCCGTGGACACCTTAATCTACAAGATGAATTGTCAGAGTTTGAACTACCTGCAAGACAGCTCGATGCTGAAGTTATGGACGAATTTCATTCTCAAGCATCTGAAATTCGTCACCGGGGGAAGGATCACCGCAGCAGCATCTCGTCAAGCCCTCCTGTGATTCCTCAAAACTTCTCAAGCTCAAGTATTGCGGCAAGCTCAGAAAACAGCGAGGACAACCTCTTTCAATCTTTTACTCAGTCTCCAGGCTCAGCTCGGTCTAACAGCAGTAGCCCGGAGCAATTGTTCCAGAACCATTTTCAAGCACAGGACGAACCACAGGACGAAATGGTACAGGAAGCACTGACAGATGATGGAGAAATAACGGGGTCGGCAGCCGATCTAATCTCAGAACCAGAGCCAGTCAAAACTCCGGAACCAAGAAAACCAGAGACAGAAGTCAGCAGTGAACCAGTAAGGAGAGATGATGAACCTACAGGAATAAACACCCCTACCGGAGTGCAAGGAGAACTAGAAACTAGGGATGGAGAGGAAGTAGCAGAAGAAATAAATACCCCCCATCGCCAGATTGATGAAGCATCAAAATCTACTACCTATGAGGAAGAACCAAGGCCGCTAGATGGCAGCACTACTACTGAAGATACCAGGAGAAGATCCAGCAGGAGATCAATCCCTACAGATAGATACAGTGCGGAGTTCAAACTTCCGGCAAACCCCAGATCCAAGAAGGGAACAAAGTCGGCGTTAGCTCTGTCTTTAAAGTCACTGAAGGCAGCACTCAAGGAGAGCTGGGCACAGAGGCCAGATTCTACAGCACCACTAAGAAGAAGGAGCAGATCAAGAGAGAGTTCTAACTCTACCAGGACAAGAGCTGCGTCCCTTGAGAGGGTGCAGACAGGGAGTATTAAGAGTAGGGGTAGTATAAGAAGTAGTGTTAGGACTAGGTATGAAGTAGCAAACCAAAGTAGTTATGTGCAAGGAGCAGATGAAAGTAGTTGGAGTGACACAGAGGATGAAGCAGATAGAGGTAGCAGCTAAGTTAAGGAAGGAATTAATACAATTTCAGGTCAAAAATCTAGAATTGCAAAAGTGAAAAACTCTGTAACACTTCACCCTGGGCAAGGGACATGGGTTTATTTAGAAGAAAATCAAGGACAAGTCAATGGGGATGATTTCATTTTTCCAATCTTGTTTAACACTATTGTTGAGAAAAATCTTTTTGCATCAAAATTTTCCCCCAGGGCAGGAGTGTTACGTTCACCTGCAATCTACTTGATTAACCATAATAACGATATCTTTGTTCAGGTGAAGAAGGGAGAGAGCGTGGGGAAGTTGATCAGCCTGTCGGTGAAGTGCGAGAGCAGGCAGACCAGCACCAGAGAGGGCGGAGTATGAGAGTAAACCAGTTGCTCTTCGTGGGCATGCTGGCAGTACTAGTAGGGCAGGCAGTAGTTCTCGGAAAGAGAGATAGAGTGGAGTTTGCAAGGAGGCTATGCTATGGTTATTTTGTTTCAACAACCGTAGCTCCAACCCTGCACGTCTTCAGTCAAGCTATAGATGGGGTCGGAGCAATTGTAGCTCTTACCTTCACTTGCTGGGTAGTAAAGACATTATTCCGACTCAGCAAGACTGGCTATAACAACTCTGGAATAGATCACGGATAGTTCTCCACCTACCACACACCCTGGAGAAGGATGAATAAAAGACGCTTTAAAGAGTGCAATAGTTTCATCTCATCCTGAGAGAGTGATCGACAAGATCGCTGATCATAAAAGATCAAGGTGGGGATGTAACAATGGGTGATTTTGTTGATCTTTTACGATCAGCGATTCAAGGATCTTTTTAGATCGCTGAGATCATAGCTGGCTAGGGGCATCACCCCCCCCCCCTTTATACCCTTCGGTTGGACTTTTGAATCCTATTTTGAATCCTAACGGATTTATTTGAGTTTGCATGTGAATTCTATAAATAACCCAAGCCAAGCTGAAAGTTCCGTTATTCCAGAGGCACGGGGGCTGGGGGGCTAGCCGGCCAGCTCCCGGGGAACTAGGGTTAAATGAGAGCCCAGGGTAGAGCGAAAGGAAGGGAAAAGAGTTAGTTGATCGTCAGCTCCCTTAAACTGAGGTTCCCTTGAAGATTCCCCATCACTCTGAAACTACTTCAATTCATAATATTTGATTCTTTTTAGTTTTGTATCTTTGTAAATAATAAACTGTAAGAAAAACCGACTCGCTGAATATTAATAATACAAGTGTTTGCATTGATTTATTTTTCTTTCATATATAATAATACAAATAGAAATATCAACTAATGATTTTTATTAATAGTAAAAATAGAAATATCAACAAAAAATGATTACTAAAATATATGTTGTTGTTTTAATGAATACTATTTAAAAGTAAAAAAAAAATGTGAATAAGTAATTAATGATAATGGCTAGGTGTTATTAATTTATATTTAAATTTTAAACTACATCTAAACTACATCAAGTCTAAAATTACTTAATCAACAATTATTTTTAACAATGTTTTTATAATTTATTTTTTATTATTTTTATAAAAGAAAATGGTATGAGGCATAGTTAATAATTTCAAATGTTCATCTTTCTTCTCCTTTCTCCATCTACTTGCCCGCAGTTTCTCTTTTTCTTGCCTCCCTATGCCCGTCCATTAATGGGACTGTTTTTGAAAGAATGTTTACGAATCGCTGTCTTTGCGCCATTATAAGACCGTGCAGGATCACCCTTTCATTGTAAAGATGTCCCCCTCTCCGTTTTTGTTTTGTTTTGCTTAATTGTAATTGCAGCCCCAGCTCTGCACATTCTGTCTACTTGCATTGGCTAGGTCACCAAACCTAGCACTTCAAGTTATTTTCTTTTTGCAGCGAGGGAGCAATAGCTTCCCAGCTAAGAACCGCACATTTTTACTTTTCTGTACAAGGAGGGTTCCATTCCAAAAAAGGATAATCAAGTGACCCGCTCAGAGGTAATTTTGTTGTAGGATCCAAGAGAGAAATGTCCTCGAGCCTAAATGCACTGCTTGTGAGAAGGTTAGATATATGGTAGGTAGAGATGAGTGGATATGGATAAGGGTTTGTAGGAGTGGCGTATCAGGAATGTTTCGTTAAAATCCCTTCATTTGTCCGGCCATGTATTATAACTGTTTCCCAGTCCAACTGAATTCCTTAGGTAGTATCACATTTAGTGTGCACCGCTCCACATGCAGATAATTTTATCAGCTCTGCTCAGGGAGCAGGGACAGAGCACTTCCAGAAATGGCTCCGACCGCTAAGTGGCGATTTATTGACTTAGTACCCCGGCCATGGGTACTGTAGTAAAGAAAGGAGGCTAGCTGATCAAAAATTAGAAATAAAAGATATTACACCTCAATTAGATTTCCAGTACATTCCTTATCTCCATGCTGGCATTCAAATTTCCAGGTGCCATCAGGGTTCTGGGACTCCTTAGCGTTCCCATATGGATACATTGAAAACTAAACATGGATATATTGAAATCTAAACATGGATACATTGAAAACTAAACTTGGATTTATTGAAAAACTAAACATGGATACATTGAAAACTAAACGTGGATACATTGAAAACTGAACATGGATATTGAAAACTAAACATGGATATATTAAAAACTAATCATGGATTCGTTTAAAACTAAATATGGAATGATTATTTTCAATAAAAATTAATTTATCTACATTTTTCTTGTTGTGTTTTTTTATATTTCATAGTTACGTATGTAATAAATATAGCAGTAAACCCCATATTTGTAAACCTGAACATACCTTTATATATTATGTTCCAACATTATCAGTACCCTAACTACATTCGTTGATTTCTGAGAACTACATTCATTAGTTTGACTACGATTTAATTTAACTACGTTCATTTACTTAACATGTACCATAAACTCCAAATTATAGATTAGTTGGACATGAACCTTTGTCTTGTGTGTAGAGTGCAGAGAGTAAGCTAGGGTTGTATCTCAAAAATACAAAGATTGTATCTCGATTGATAGATACCGACAAATACAGAGGTTGTATCGATATTGATGGATACTTGAGAATACAGAGGGTTATACCTGGATTGGTACAGACTTTAAAGAAACTATCGGAGTAAGGCATTTGTTACACTTATATAACAGAACGTTCAAGTTTAAAGCAAACCATCATTCTTGGTTTTAGACATACTTAAAGGGACTGTACGCAAAATTTAAGGTGACCCTCCATACAAAGATGACAATGCCCGATAAACAATGTTATCCTTGAACCCTTTTTCTAGTCAATAATGTGGAAATTTTTTTTGTTTTTTTTATGTTTAACAGTTTTTTACTCTGGAATTCAGGCATTGTTGTCTTTGCATGGAGGGTCAACTTAAATTTCGCTAGCAGTCTCTTTAATCATATTCTTCTTTATAGCAGCCGAATAATGCATGATGTGAACAATAATCAATAATAACTGTAGATTAAAAGTTTAGATGTCAAATTGTAAACCATTTCATGCAATATTTCTCGGACAAAAAATTATAATATCCTTTTTTGTTAAATAAAAGTGTAGCACAGTTTCTTGGAAAAATAATATAAGTTGTGAGTTCGAATTTAATAAACTTGAGCCGCCTCTCCAATCCGCCAAATACCGGTCTCAATTGAGCGCCGCTTAACTCTGGAAACATTTAATACAATTTAAAGTGGAACGGTGTCTCAGATTTAAGCCGCGGCTCAAATTTTTTAAATTCGGCCTCAGCTCAGCTTCACTGGAGGGGTTTATATTCCTCCTAAAACTGTAGTTCAAGTTTTTGTATAACTTACATCCAGATCTATATTTACATCCAGATCTTTATATTTTTACATTTTATTCAAAGTTTTAGTAAATATGAGCTGCTAAATAGTTTCTTGAATATGAAAAATGAGATGCTCTAATGGTGAATCTTAAAGAATATGATTGCTTATATAAACCGTTTAAAACTTGTAGTCATTTATTGCATTTATTGCAACCTAAATTTAGTTTTTTTTTTCATGTTCACTTTGCATTGGAAGTGTGCATTTGTTACATGTATAATACTACTTTAACCGTCAATTGTAATTGTTCCTGTACAGCACCTGCCCTCGTACATGTCTCTTCTGTTGTATCCTTCTGTATCAATACACCTAAGCGTGCACCCTTATCTGTGTCTTTACCTATACCCTTATCCGTATCAGAATTCAGTACTTACCTGCACCTGCACCCTTTTCTGTATCAGTAATGCACCCTTATCTGTAACTGTACATGTTTCAATACACCCTTTCTTAACTGTATCTGTGCATTATCATCCCTTGTACCAGTATCCTTATCTTTACCTATACCTATAATCTGTCTTTTATACCTGTACATGTCGTCACATCTGCACCTGTTTCTATTTGTACCTGTACCTGTATCATAACCTGGACAATTGCTGTACCTCCTCTTGAACTTGCAGCTGTATATTACCTGTACTATCCCTGCATCCTTGAGTTTGTAGAAGGTTGGGAAAAGTTGAGTTTCTACAAAATATCTACATCCCGGGCATAGCGACTCATAGTATAGTTCTACGGTTACAGGTTCGGGTTCAACGAAGATCTACAAATATTTTTCTCTGTGTTAGAATAGTGATATCCATGGGTAAAAACTAAGGAAAGAGTTTTTGCTTCAATCAGAAATTTTCTGATCTCTTTATCTTACCAACCAGATGGAGTAAACCTTTGATATTTCAAACTTACCAACCAGAAGGAGTAACCCTTTGATATTTCAAACTTACCAACCAAATGGAGTGAACCTTTGATATTTCAAACTTACCAAGCAGATGGAGTAAACCTTTGATTACCAACCAGTTGGAGTAAACCATTGATATTTCAAACTTACCAACCAGATGGAGTAAATCTTTGATATTTCAAACTTACCAACCAGAAGGAGTAACCCTTTGATATTTCAAACTTACCAACCAAATGGAGTAAACCTTTGATATTTCAAACTTACCAAGCAGATGGAGTAAACCTTTGATTACCAAATAGTTGGAGTAAATTATTTATATTTCAAACTTACCAACCAGATGAAGTAAACCTTTGATATTTCAAACTTACCAACCAGATGGAGTAAACCTTTGATATTTCAAACTTACCAACCAAATGGAGTAAACCTTTGATATTTCAAACTTACCAAGCAGATGGAGTAAACCTTTGATTACCAACCAGTTGGAGTAAATTATTTATATTTCAAACTTACCAACCAGATGCCTTTGATATTTCAAACTTACCAACCAGATGGAGTAAACCTTTGATATTTCAAACTTACCAACCAGATGGAGTAAACCTTTGAAATTTCAAACTTAGATAATTAAATCTAACAGAAATCAAAGTTTGTGGCAAATACTTAATTCCTTTGAACGTTCAAAATAGAATTATTGACTACAATTCTCTCAATCCTACCTCAAAAATTCTACCAATAAACCCGGCCTGGGTAGAACACACAACTGATAAAGTGAGTAGGGTGAGAAGGACGGGTTTCATTATGTTTATCTTGATATCTCTCTCTACACACTGAACCCTGATATCATCTACTAATACTTACACTATTTTTCCAATTCTAAGTGCTCAATATTATCTAATAAAATCTTAATTTTATGCTAAAAATCAAATTTTTATATTTTTATAATGAATTTTTATTTTCATGTTTAGCGGGGAGATAAACCCCTGATTTTTTTGTTATTGTCGGAAAACCCACCCATCAACTTTACAGTGATTTATAAAATATTTCAAATATATGCGCAAAAACAAAGGTGTCTTTGTTGAATTTTCAAAAGAAAAAAATATATATTTTTAAGTTAGATGTACATCAACGTCTCAAACCCGCTGCATGAGATGAGCTCTGGTCCGACCTGGTGTGTTTTCTGGTTCCCACCCTGAAACAACTTAAATTTGCATTAACGGTAACAAAGCTTAAAGATGACCCCCTCCTGGTTTAAACAAGAAAAAACACAAAAACTTGTTCATAATTTTTTCAAAAATATTCTCTTTTCATCAATCTTATCGCAACAATTTTTTACTGCTCTAAAGATTTAAGTAAATTGCTCAAAACTATGCTTTCAAAATATATTGAAAAAATTTAAAGATTTCCTGCATAAAATTTTTCCCTCCTAAACTTTTTCCCAATTTAAATTTTTCCTACTTAAAGTCTTCCTATTTAAAGTTTTCCTACTCAAAGTTTTAACACTTAAAATCTTACTTTAAAGTTTAACTAAAATTTTCCTATTTAAAGTTTTTCTAGCAAAAGTCTTTCCTATCCAAAGTTGTACGTAAAGTTTTCCTATTTAATGTTTTCATATCTCAAGTTTTCTAAGTTAACATTTTCTTTTTCTACGCTTGTCTATTAAAGGTTCTCCTATCTAAAGTTTTCTTATTAAAAGTTTTCCTATTTCTTAAGTCTTCCTGTTTAAAGTTATCCTATTTAAAGATTTCCTATTTAAGGTTTTTTCCTATCTAAAGTCTTTCCTATCTATAATTTAAATAATGTTTTTAAGTTAGACGCACTACCACGATTCGGTCCTGCTGACCTGGTATGTTATCTGGTCCCCACCCCGAACCAACGTAGCGTGACATTAACGGTAAAAAAGTTTAAAGATGACCTCACGCCTGGAATTAAAAAAACAAAAAATGCAAAAATAAAGAACATGTGCACAACTTTCTCTAAAAATCTTCAGTTATTGATATTCAATAAGTTCGTACTGCTCAAGTGTTTTAAAAAATTAAAAGGAAAAAAATTTTTTTTTAATACAATGCTTCCAAAATTTCTTAATACTTCAATGTTATTCTTTCATCGTCAAGGATCGACCGATCTATACCTAACCTAACAAGCTGTTTCTTTACTATTTCTAACTGCTGCGGCGTTTAAAGGAAATTTCTAAGACAATTATTCCGAAATTATCAGAGATTATAAATTCAAAACCTTGATCGTCAAGAATCGGTCTATTTATACCTAAACTAGGAAGCAGTTAGTCTACTATTTCGAACTGCTCCGGCGTTTAAAGTGAAATTATTAATAAATTCTTCCAATCTTGTCTGAAACTCTAATCCCACAATTTCGATCGACAAGAATTGATTCGTCTGTTCTCAAACTAAGAAACAGTTAGTTCGAACTGCTCCGGCGTTTAAAGTAAATTTTTTAAAAAAAAACTTTTCTTACAAATTGCCTGAAATTATAATGTCACAACCTTGATTGTCAAGAATTGATGGACCTGTAATTAACTTAAGAAACAGATAGTACACTATTTAAAATGTTAACTTTATTATCTATGTACAGGAGAATTCTGAGTACCGGATCGACACGCAGCTGCGATATCTAACTCACGAGAACTTCCTCGTCGCCCAAGAAACCTCCCTCGTCGGAGAATTCTGAGTACCGGATCGACACGCAGCTGCGATATCTAACTCACGAGAACTTCCTCGTCGCCCAAGAGACCTTCCTCGTCGGAACGGGATAGAAATACTCCCTTCTGCACCATCTATTGCTTTCCGACCTCAAGTCGGTCATTTAAAATCACTGTGCATGATTAACATCCCATGTTAACTCAGTCACATATAAAGTCTTGATCTTGATTACGTAGGCCGGCAAATTTTACAATCCAGAACAGTTTTACCTGATCCATTTCTTAAACAGTTTATAAATTTTAAACTTAATTAAATGATTTATCTGATCTCACACGCACAATCTTAAACCCATCGTAGAATCTTCATAGCATCTCTTGAACAACTGTACAGAGCTACTAGCTATAAAGTTATAGCTATTATATATTCCTGTAAAACAATTGTTTTTTCGTATATAGTAACTCTGTTAATAATTACATATAAATTTTGTTAACCGAAATAACCTTACGAAAATAAAAAATATTTAGATTTAAAAAAAAACTTTACAGTGAGCTTCAGATCACAGGATAAAATCAATAAGGATAAAATCAAGGGATTGATGGTAGCATTAAAGGATAATGGATATAAGCAAAGGATAAAGCATACAATCAAAAGATGCAAGATGTTATTATAGGATACAGGATAGAATTTCTAAAGGTGCGGGATATATTATTCAAAGGATACAGGATATAATCATCAAAGGATACAGGCTAGAATTATCCAAGAATACAGGATTGGATTCAGAATAGAATTATCAAAGGATACAGAATAGAATTATCAAAGGATACAGAATAGAATTATCAAAGGATACGGAAAAGAATTGATAAAAAAAACATATTATCACCATAGTATGCAGAATAGTTACAAAATGCAGAAAAAATGTCAATTTTTATATTGATACTGTATCTAGAAGATCTCTTTTGTGTAAAACATACTTTAATTATGAACTATGTACTTATGATAAGAACAAAGAATTCAGACAAAATGTTTATTTTTTATTTCACATCAATTATATTTATATATGTTTAAACAAATATGTTAATCGTTAATCTTAATGTACAGTGGGCCTCTCTAAACATGATTATTTTTTGATAAGTCGCGACTTTGAATTTTTTTTTTAAATGCAGAAATACCCCTAGTCCCATGTAATTTCAAAAAAGACACATTTAAAATTCTCAAACTTACACGGAGATACATTTTTCTGACTAATTATTATGTTGTATATATGAAATAAAAATGTGCTGAGCATTCGATATATTTTTTAATTTTTTCAGGTGCAAAAAATGCAAAACACACTTCAAATAGCTTGAAAATCGTTTAAGTCATTAATCACTCCAGACTAACCATGACTGAGCAGCATTCGGTTTCTTCTATTTGAAATCAAACATGTTTTAGTCTATAATTCAACAATCATTTACTTTACGGATTTGTTTATTCTATATTTTTCTTCAAAATGCATATGCCGACAAAAAAGTATAAAAAAAAGGCTATCACATTATGTTTAATAGGTCAAATTGTGATCGAAAGTCACAGATTTCTGGAATATTGACAGAACCGTTAAATCCAAGTGTAATGTTACATGATTTGCTTGTTTTAAACATGATTTGCTTGTTTTAAACGTGATTTGCTTGTTTTAAACATGATTTGCTTGCTTTAAACATGATTTGCTTGCTTTAAACATGATTTTCTTGCTTTAAACATGATTTGCTTGTTTTAAACATGATTTGCTTGCTTTAAACATGATTTGCTTGTTTTAAACATGATTTGCTTGCTTTAAACATGATTTGCTTGTTTTAAACATGATTTCCTTGTTTTAAACATGATTTTCTTGTTTTAAACATGATTTGCTTGTTTTAAACATGATTTCCTTGTTTTAAACGTGATTTGCTTGCTTTAAACATGATTTGCTTGTACGTTTTAAAAGTGCATGTCTTGATCAAAAGGGCTTAATTTTGACAATTTCCTAAATTATTTCTGCAACTAGGACTTTATTTTGTGACTCGGTGTAGATAACTTAATTCAGCTGTTTTGTAACTTTCTTGTTTGGTGAGCCTCGGTTCTCTTTCTCCCGGGTTAATTCTCCTTCTATCTTCTCCATTATCTTTTCCCAATCTACTTCAACCTAGAATATTTATATTTTAGTCCAGGGTTTACCAATCTATTTCAACCTAGAATATTTATATTTAGTCCAGGGTTTACCAATCTATTTCAACCTAGAATATTTATATTTTAGTCCAGGGTTTACCAATCTATTTCAACCTAGAATATTTATTTTTAGTCAAGGGTTTCCCAATCTATTTCAACCTAGAATATTTATTTTTTAGTCAAGGGTTTACCAATCTATTTCAACCTAGAATATTTATTTTTTATTCAAGGGTTTGCCAATCTATTTCCACCTAGAATATTTATATTTTAGTCCAGGGTTTACCAATCTATTTCAACCTAGAATATATATATTTAGTCAAGGGTTTCCCAATCTATTTCAATCTAGAATATTTATATTTAGTCAAGGGTTTACCAATCTATTTCAATCTAGAATATTAATTTTTTAGTCCAGGGTTTACCAATCTATTTCAACCTACAATATTTATATTTTAGTCAAGGGTTTACCAATCTTTTTCAACCTAGAATATGTTTATTTCAGTCAACCTAGAATAGTCATATTTTAGTCCAGGGTTTCCCATTCTTTACCTCCCTAATCACGTTCATGTACTGCAAATATTGTTTATTTAGTGAATGTACTGTAATTATTTTTTACCTCGTTCATGTACTGCAATATTGTTTACCTCGTTCATGTACTGCAATATTGTTTACCGTGTTCATGTACTGCAATATTGTTTACCGTGTTCATGTACAGCAATATTGTTTACCTCGTTCATGTACTGCAATATTGTTTACCTCGTTCATGTACTGAATATTGTTTACCTCGTTCATGTACTGCAAATATTGCTTGTTTGTTTCCTCTTTTTCACTTCTCTCCAGGTACTTTAGTCTAAGAAAAGTTAAGTAATAATGAAATAAATTATGGACTAAACATATATCAATCAATATAATAAAGCTCTTCGCTCATATATATATATATATATATATTCAATTATATAGCTGGCCAAACGGCTAGACCAAAAAACTGAAATTTTTTAAGGATAGAAAAAGGCTAAAAAAGTTCTTCAAAATTCGAAGTTTTTTCCAAGCATTTTTAAAATTCTTCGGGCAACGCCGTGCACTTCAGTTGGTATGAATATATGGAAATACTTAGGTTTCATACTTTATCTTATTTTCTTTTAATCTATTACCATTCATGGTTTCATACTTCATCTTATTTTCTTTTTATTTATTACCCTTCATGTTACCATACATTATCTTATTTTAATTTGATTTATTACCCTTCGTGTTATCATACTTTATCTTATTTACTTTTAATTCATTACCCGTTATTTTATCATACTTTATCTTACTTTCTTTTTTTATTTATTACCTGTAAGCTAAAACCGTGTCAACATGAGTCTTGTATTTGACCACCAGCTAGTGATTTCTAGGTATACCTGTATGCTTAAACCGTGCCAACTTAAGTCTTATATTTAACCGCTAGCTAGTGATTTCTAGGTATACCTGTAAGCTAAAACCGTGTCAACATTTGTCTTGTATTTGACCGCTAGCTACTGATTTCTAGGTATACCTGTAAGCTTAAACCGTGTCAACATGAGTCTTTTATTTGACCGCTAGCTAGTGATTTCTAGGTATACCTGTAAGCTAAAACCGTGTCAACATGAGTCTTGTATTTGACCGCTAGCAAGTGATTTCTAGGTATACCTGTAAGCTAAAACTGTGTCTATATATAAGTCTTGTATTTGACCGCTAGCTAGCTAGTGATTTCTAGGTATACCTGTAAGCTAAAACCGTGTCAACATGAGTCTTGTATTTGACCGCCAGATCAAGCGCTCTCTCCCACTGATGAATATAGATATTGAGAAGGATTGCTCGAAACACAAGACCAGCCTAGACAAATTATAAGTTATAGATTAAATCTTAAATAAGGAATCGACTGTTTATAGCACGTCGTTGCCAATAAAGGTTGAAACTTCAAAGACGACCCTACGTTCAATTTTTTCCTTTCAATCTTTTTTTCTCGTCTAATTCCTGGCTTCATCCGGTGGAAAATATATCAAGCTAATGTAAGCATTCATATCATTAAATATATGTCCTTATTAAAGGGTATTTTTTGTAGATATAACCCTGTACAGAGCTTGTCCAGAAACAAGCTATAATTTCATGAATTTCAAACTTTTAAAAATTAAATCACACAAAAACTCACTCTTTAAAGAGTGTTTAATACCTAAATACATTAGCAAATATTGTTTATGTAGATATGTAGCTAAGATCCAGCCCCCCTAGGTAATACAGAAATAAAAATCAAGGTTTACATTCTCTTTGGTGTTTTCCCTGCTCCCTCTAGAGGTGATCAAGATAGAAAAAATTTCGCTCATCCCCAATAAATTTCTGCATGCGCCCCTGCGTTTGCCTTTTCCATGATTGTTTAACCTGAAGAAGAATATTCTCAGCTTCGTAATAGTTTCCACTGAGCACTGCCATTTCAGCTGCCTTAGCTTCCTTCAGGGGTAGTTCTTGTATATACTGGATGTAGTAGACTTTATCAGACTCCTACAATATATTATATATATACATTCTTGTATGTCTATAATTAAGAAATAAAAAAAATCTTAAAGAATAAAATGAATGGTATGTACCTGAAGGTTAGCATAAGCTGTTTCAGCAGTATTGAGCTGTCTGGCTGCTATAGCCATACCTGCCAGACAGGCCCACAGGGTGTTATCTTTCACAAACCTATACACAAGGAAAAGGAATCAACATAATCCATAGAAAATACGGATAAATATTTTCTGAAGAGATTAACCTATACAAAAGTTCTAACCTCCGATTTAGATTTGACAACAGTAGCAAAATACTTTTCCGATAATAATAATAACATTTTTTAAATTTTCATGTCTATTTATTATAAGAAATATTATGATTGCAACCTCCCAGCAGTTGAACTGACCTGCATATTTTGATTGCATCCTCCCAGTGTCCAGAGAGAACGTAACTATGAAGCATGGCAGGGTAGGGTGGAATACCTAAATATACACAATTTAGATTTGTAAACACTTTAAACTTTTATATTGTTGAAGTTTAGAGTTGAATGTGATCAAACAAGGCCGGAAATAATTAGTATCTAGAAGAAGTTCAACTGGTTTTACCTAGTTCAACTAATGCTCGATTCGTCAGACCTCAATCACAAAAAAAAGTGAAAAGAAATTCGGGGAAAAATAAGTTTAAACAAATTCAAAACGGAAAAATAGGAAACTGAAATAAGTAAAAATTGATTATTGTTATTTCATATAATTTAAAGATTTTTTATTATTTTATTTATAATTGAAAAATCATTGATTGCTGACAGCACATGTAGGGAGTGGTTCATAATGCTGAGAGCACTATTCATGAAACTTTGGAGCACTATACCTGTAGTAACTAGTGACCCGTCAGCTCGTCTAATAATGCTGAGAGCACTATTTATGAAACTGTGCAGCACTATACCTGTAGTAACTAGTGACCCGTCTGCTCGTCTAATAATGCTGAGAGCACTGTTCATGAAACTGTGGAGCACTATACCTGTAGTAACTAGTGACCCGTCCGCTCGTCTAATGCTGAGAGCACTATTCATGAAACTGTGGAGCACTATACCTGTAGTAACTCGTGACCCGTCAGCTCGTCTAATGCTGACAGCATTGTTCATGAAACTGTGGAGCACTATACCTGTAGTAACTAGTGACCCGTCTGCTCGTCTAATAATGCTGCTGAGAGCACTATTCATGAAACTGTGGAGCACTATACCTGTAGTAACTAGTGACCCGTCTGCTCGTCTAATAATGCTGAGAGCACTATTCATGAAACTGTGGAGCACTATACCTGTAGTAACTAGTGACCCGTCTGCTCGTCTAATGCTGACAGCATTGTTCATGAAGCTGACAACAACTGAATGTTTTCCAAACTCTGCAGCATCCTTCTCCACCAAGGTCCTTAAATTACAATTATTAAACAACTCCTATCTTCTAAACAAATTAAAGTGAATCAAAATATTAGAAAATCCAACTATAATAAGCCATGAAAGCATTCAAACTCAACCCCAGCACCAATATTTTTAGGAAAAAAAACTCTTTCACTTTAAGAGAACATGATATTCTACGGGGGACCAATAAAAAGTCTTGTGTATATTTAAAATTCGGTGATGGTGATGGACCAAACCTCTGTAGAGTAAAAAAAGTAGATGTTAGTTCCACATTTATTGAAAATATATTTCGGTCTGGAATGACCCTCGTCAGTTCTAACGTTATAATAACCATCAAAATTGATAAAAAAAAAAATTTTTAAACCACAAGAAAATAAACAACAAAAAAGATTATTTAAAAAAAAAATTTATGCTGTCAAATGGACATAAGGGAAACTAACTCAGATTATGAGATGAAAAAAAGATAATTTGCAAATATTCACGTTTTAAAAAAATGTTTTAAGACAATTATTCAACCATCAGAAAGGTTTACTATTTAAACATTTGAAAGGAGGTACATACTTAATTTTTAAATCAACTACTGGATGTGACAATCAGCCAAAAAGTTCAAGCTTGTAGTAATAAAAATCTTAATAATAAATTAGTCACATTTCACATTCGTTATTTTTCACAGTACCCCATACAAAAGTAAAAACAGTCCCATTATAAACGAAAAATGGTGTTCCCTTGATAAAATTTCAGTCCCAACATAATTGTAAATGTTTATTGTTTTTTTTTCTAAGCCTAAAAATATTGTGAATCCTCCAAAATACTAATGTCAAATAAACATCAAGTCAATATCAAACAATCAGAAAATTAATTAAAAGCAGCAAACACTGAACAAACATCGCTGGGACACTTTGAAACAAATTTTTAAATAATTGAAATTTTAAAAAATCTTTCAGTCTTTAAAAGTGACTTGTCGATATTTTGCTGCAGAAAAAATGAAACATTGTAAGAATTTAACACTTTTCTAGAAGGACCAAGAAGATATCTTCTATATTTAGATCAGAAAAGGATTTAAAGTGTTATCGTTGAACACTGAATATATATGTAAGGTCACTTACAATTATAACGACAATCCCTTGAATTACCTTATAAGTAAACTGCGATCCACAAAAATTATATTTGGATAAAACCAAACTGTAACTTTACCATCCTAAAACAAACTACTTTGTATGAAAGAAATTATATTCGGAAAAAACCAAACTGTAACTTTACCATCCTAAAACAAAACACTTTGTATGAAAGAAATTATATTTGGATAAAACCAAACTGTAACTTTATCATCCTAAAACAAAACACTTTGTATGTATAAAAGAAATCATATTTAGATAAAACCAAACTGTAACTTTACCATCCTAAAACAAAACACTTTGTATGTATGAAAGAAATCATATTCGGATAAAACCAAACTGTAACTTTATTATCCTAAAACAAAACACTTTGTATTAAAGAAATTATTGAATTGTTATCGACGTATTGGTAAATATATAGTACGTGCATACATGCATACAACTTAGTGAAATCTTTTACAATTTTTTAGAAAAGGCTATCAAACTAATAGAATTAATAGAAATAAGAACACAACAATAACAGGATTAGCAACTTAGAGTTTTACCAAAGCGTAAAGGATAAAATTAGAAAAAACACAGGGTCTCTAAAAAACGGGTAATAGCAGACTCGTTTAAAATTTGATTTTTTAGGCTCCTAAAGTTTCCAACTGGAGTGAGTAACGTTGGTAAAAATAATTTTGTATTTATGGGTCTACAGACGTGTTTGTAATCGGATGTTCAAGATTGAGGCCATTTTAAATATATCTAAGTACATTTAAAACAATGACAAGCATAAATCATGTAATACTTTACTAAAATTAAACATTTATCTAACTGTAATAAGCTATACTTTGTACAAAATTTATATTATTATTTTTATTATTATGTAGGACACCCTGTCCAGTAGGTATGATATAATACGTAATATTAACCTGCATGGCTACCAGCATATTACAGTCCTGGGACCATCTCAAACTCTGAACCATTACACCAAGCTTTCCAGGGGTATTATTCCTTCCAAACTAATATAGAAAAATGTAAAGGGATAGATAACAAATTTTAAGTTAGGTTCAAACCATGGGACCAAAACATCGCTTTAAAAAAATAAGGTAGAAGTTGAACTACGACGTCAGGTTGCAAAGGTATTTGAAAATTTAAATATAATGAGAAAACTCATGATAAAGAAAGTACTAAGTTAGTGAATATGAATAAAAATGTAGTTTGAGAAGTCAGGTATAGAAGTTAGTGAATAAAAATATTTATTTTCCTGGTATTTTTCATTACTGAGATAGATTTGTTATTTGTGAATATTAGATGTAGAGTCCGAATTTAATGAATTAAAGCCGCGTCTCAAATCCCACCAAAAACAGGCTTCACTTGAGCGCCGGCTTAGATCTTGAAAAGTTTAATACAGTTTCAAGTGGAACCAACCATATTTGAGCCGCGGCTCAAATTTAAGACGCGGCTCAAATTCTTTAAATTCGGCCTTAGGTTACCTTTCTAACATTAGTCAAATAAAGATCTCTGTTTTTATCCACAATCGCTAGTTTTCTCTCATTGGGTAATCCAGTCTGATCCAGAGCAATCTCTGCGATCTACGGAAAGAACGTATATAAAATAGATCCTTAAAACTTCTTTTAAGCATAAGGTCAAGTGACCCTCCTTGAAAAGATGGATAATGGCCGATATCAATTAGGTAGCAATGTTTATAATCTTGAATTGTGCAGTTTATCAACTGCTGGAAAACATATTGTAAATATCAGAAATTAAGACGGAGAAACCTAAAAAATACAATATTTTCCATATTAATGATTAAGGTTTTAAATCAAAAATCAAATTTAAAGTGAATTTATTTTCAAATAAAAATATTCCTACCTCTTGTTTATGGGTAAATGGTCTCCCATCGTTTAATGGTTTCCCTGTCCCAGTATCAAATAGATGAACATTCCTTTCATCAGTTTGATCCCTAGTTAATTAGTCAAAATAAACCATGCACATATATTAAAAGTTAAAGTTTTATTCAATTTATATTCATCAACTATAAACTATATACAAATGTGGCGAAAGATAATCGATGACTATAGGTTGTAATATCTTAATGATTTGTTTGAAATTAAATTGATTTTTTACGGTCTAAGTCATATGTTGCAATTTTCTCAATTTGTATGGGCGCTAAGTTATTCGGTATGAGACGTCGTTAACAATTTTCTCCTTATAGACGCAACAGATAGAAGTAAGATTAGTAGCGATCAAAAGCGCTTTTTTATCGCATTAAGCCTATACACCCTTACATTTTTCGCGAACACTCCCTTTAATCTTGAAAACATAAATATGAACCCTTTAACAGCAAGCATTTTATATTAGATTATATTATCACTCTTCCCCTTTTGTTTACAGCAAATATGGTTAATACTGTTGTTATTTTATTTAAAGGTTACGATAAAAATATGCTTTTGTTTAAAAAGGATTTATATATATTTAAAGTTTCACCGAAAAAAAACACACAAATAATAGTTAATAAAATTATGAAAAGTTAAAACTGTAATAAAACTTGAAGGTCGTATTTTACAATCTTTTTTTTAAACGTCGCCAGATTTTCTTATTTAACAGTTTTAACTCAGAAGCGTGTCATTATCATTTTTAAATATTTGTTGATGAGTAACAATTTTACTTTCTTCAGCTATCTATATATATTTATATTTGAAAATGTTGAAACGTATACTTTTTGTTTATTTTAGTTATGAATGTAAATATAATAAATATACAATGATTATTTTTTACTTTAAAGGGAAATTTAGAAATTTTGTATGTAAATATCCGTTGCGTTGCTAACTTTTTCACGAGAACTTCGCAGAGCGAGATGTTATTTAACTCAATTGTCCCAAGGGAAAGTAAAGTAAATTAACATCCCTCTGTTGGGATGTTGGCTGGTCGGTAAAGTAGCTGAAAAGGCGATAAAATTGGAAAAATGTGGTAAGGTTGGTGAAAAGGCGTTAGAGATAGGTAAAAGGGCGGTAAAGTAGGTAAAAGGCGGTAAAATAGGTGAAAGGCGGTGAAGTAGGGGAAAAGGCGGTAACGTTGTTGAAAAGTTCTTAATTCACCTGATGGCCAGACAATCTGTGCTAAGACTAACAGTTTGTTTTGACAAAACGTCAGGTCTCATCCCACTCCACTATACAGGGGGAACCAATTAATATGTAAGTTTCCCGATATTTAGGTCGTCTTCGATATTCATTGATCAATTCATGAATATTGTCGTAATCTTACCATAGATAAATAAATAAACATAGATTGCTTATGTACGCAAAATGACCAAGAATTGTACAGTCTGCGAACTCATACTTCTAGGGGTCAAAGTGTACTTCAATGATAAGCGGGGTGGTTTGGTGTTTTAATGGATTTCACAGAATAGAGTATAAAATAACTCCGGGAATGGAACTATTTGAACAACAATATTTCACTGAGCAATATATCATAACGAGAACTTAAGAAGGACATGAGAAGGACTAAACTAACTTAAATTTCTTTTTACAGAACTCATGTATCCCACAAGTACTCAATGACATAAGAACAGCCAATGTTCACAACCGACCTAGTTAATCTATATAATAGGAATATCTTTAAAACATCGCTGTACATTTATATCACTCAAGATGAAAAATGTCGTCTTATGCGCAATCTATCTTTTACAAATTGATGAAGAAAAATAATTTTCTTCTCCTTGCCTTTGAAACCTGAAGTGGTAGACCTTTGATATTTCAAACTATAATTCTGCTGGATCAAATTGTCAAGGTTTGAAATATCAAAGGTGTAAACGACACTCTAGACATCATTTCTCTGTCAATTTAAAAAAAGTAAACTTTTTTGAAAATTACTTATTATTATTAAACTTTTTAAAAAATTACTTATTATCGTAAATAAAAAAATAACTATGTCCTATTAAAATTGACAACAACTAATAGCAATAGGTCAAAAGAAAAGCAGAAATAAACAATCTTAGTAATGCATAACATATGCAACGCAGATACATTAGACAATAAGGAAAATGATTTTTTTGTCAGTGTTTAAAACGATCTATATTTACCTTAGGAGAAGCTAGTAGTCTTCCCTCATAGCTGTATATATAGATAGCTTGGGACTCCACCAGAAGAAAATGCTTACTAGCTTGGATTATTAGGCTTACACTGCCCTCCTATACGTGTAAAATTTATATCTGTTTTTAATTGAATAATACATTGATTTACGTATAAATAATTCCACCAACTATATAAATATATATATATAGTTTGAATAATGTATACATAAATAGCTTGTACATATAGATAGCTTGGGTCTACTGATTGATATCGTTAATATAATTTTGCAATTTAATTAATTTATCAAATTTTGTAAAGCACTTTTAACGTAAAAAAACTAAATGTCTCAAAACGATGCCCATCACTACTTGGGACTTTACCATGAGGACATGTTTACTGGCTTGGATTATCAGACTACCAACACTCCCTATCCTATGTAATCTATTTGAGTTGTTAAAAGAAATTTGACTACTCAAAATTTATTTAAATTAATTTTATTAAAAATCTATGCTCATAGGAACGAAATAGAATAATTGGAAAAAATTGGAACTTAACAAAAAAAAATGTTTGTTTATTAACTATGTAATTAGGTCGTATTATAAACGTTTTATATATATATATATAACCCTGGGATGTAAACAAAGTTGATTTCTTGAACGAGAACTAAAAAAAGAACTGAAAGAAGGATGCAATCAAACAGAGGTTTAATGGATCATTACTTCAGTTTTTTATCAGCATTTGGATACTTTTAGATCAAATTAATACCTTTAGATCAATTATAGTTGGTGTGTTCCAATTCTTCGTTGTATATATATTACACTGCGAGGTTGTAGCTACAACTAGATGACCGTGGCACAGACTGGCCTTAACAATTATTTCATTAAAAACATTTAGAGTGGAATTGATCAGACACAGTTGAAACCGGTAGTAATATAAACTAGACATGCTACTTTTCAATAGTCCCTTATGAAGGTTAAATTTTCATAATAACCCACATTATTTTAATTTTTTTATCCCTCAAAAACTCATGTTCATGCAAATTGAAATATTTTTAAAAGTGAACATTGACTAAAACTGTATCGTTTACATATTTCACATTTTTTAATTAGTTACTCAACAAAGCCAATCTAACTGCTCAAATATGTCATTGAATGTTAAATTGGTAGACTTTTTCTTGGATTTAAAAAAAACATTTTCCGGACATTGGACTTTTAATATGATAAAACGAAACATACAATTTTAAGAACGAACAAATCTATTTGCACATTTTTCTTTTGCATATCGTACATTTTCCAACCTGGATTATTCTATCCCTAAACTCAAGCTTCTCCCAAGTTTCATTTGTCACATTTCTAAATCATAATAATACTTTTAATTCAAGTTAAAATACTTTGAACAACATGAAATCTTTTAGCATTAACCCTAAACAGGCTTTGCAGGTACGATATAGCGACCTTTCCATATGGTGTCGTTCTCAAACCGCTTTCAAAGGAACTGAGTACGTTGCCATAAACACAAATTTTATAATCCTTAGCTTTGCAACTTAATGGAGTAAACCTTTGCTATTTCAAAAAAAGGTTATTTGATCTTACAGAATTCATAGCTTTAAATGTCAAAGATAAAGGAATCATAAAATTTAAGTTTGTGGCAAAAACTAAATTTCTGTATACTAACACCGACATTTAGCCATAAACAGGCTGAGGGGGGGGGGGCATTGGGCGCCCCCCTAAAGTTTTTTTTGTCCTAGCACCCTCATTTTTGACACCATCACCGTGAAATTTAGTGACTTTTAATAAATAGAAATTTAAAAGTTTTTTTGAAAAAATTCACGGTAGGATACAGGGCAGTAAAAAGTGCGATTTGCGTAAAGAAATCTAAAATAGCCCATAACTTTTTTGTGACAAAAGCTACAGATCTAAAAACTATATTTCTAAAAAAACCCTTGAAAAAAGGATGTAAAGGCATTTGCGACACTTTGAAATTTGTTTGAAACAAAAAAAAATATTTTTTTTCACCATTTTTTGACATTTTATTCAACCCTCCCTAGCATCCAAACTATTAAAGTTATCAGTCTATTTTTTTTTCTTCAATGAGCTGGCCTTGAAAAATTGGGCCATAAACATGCATTTCTAATATCATGTACCTATTCTCTAGGGTACTTTTATAATGGGGGGGGGGCGTCCCACGGCTTTACATAAATTCAGACCCCCCAGCCTTTATAGGGTTAAGACCCACCGGCCACCACCCTCTGTATCTTTAGGTTTACTAAATAAAACAACAGCACATTTTAATCTTAAATTAATACATTTTCCTTTTTATCGATTATTAATTATTATAATTTATTATTTTAAAGTAAACCTGAGAGAGATAGTTTTTCTTCCTGTGATTGTAGCTTCGTAATCCCTCCACTCTAATCTACGTTCTATCACGTGAGCAAATATAACCTGACCGTTCCCACACCCTCCAGCTACCTAGAGTGAAAATAAATAAAGTCTTTATAATAAAGTCTTTGCAATCCTGATGTCGCATTGACCACAGATATTTTAAATTATGAATTCTGTTAGATCAAATATCAAAGGTTTACATCATCAAATTTCAAAGATACAGAGATTAGAAAATATGCGTTTGTGAAAAATTCTCAATTCTTTCATGAATCAATAATCATTTAATCCTTAAACTACTGGTTAAAGCTCAAAGGTACTCTGTGGTATGAATATTTCACAAGTATAACTTTGTATAATGGTTCAATTTCAAAAGTACAATAAATTCTTAGATGTTTCTACTCACTATATATTCTATTAGCTTGGGAACCCTGCGTTGCTCAGGGTAGTCATGGTTGGTTCCGCCGTTTACGCGTGCTTGGTCGTAAATTACGATTTTAGCTATTTTACTCAATAAAACTTAGAATCTCAAAACCAAGTTAAGAACATTCCCGTGACTCTCCCAAGTTTCCCAATAAAAATTTGAGGGAAATCGGTCTAGGGGTTTCCGAGTTAAGTTCGGACAAACAGACAGACACCCAAACAGAGATTAGAAATTTATATATTTAGCTTAATAATCATTTTTTTACGGAAAATTGGTTGCTAGTCATAAAGATTAAAAAAAGTAAATTCGAAAATATTAAAATATAAAAGAAGATACAACGGTCGGAGAAAAATAATCACTACTCCTTTTAAATTTAATTTGAAAAAAAAATTTAATTTAAAATATTTTGATAAAAAAGTCTCTTTTTTGGATATCCGAGATTAAGTGTTCAAGATTAAAAATGCTCAAATTTTTTACTTTTTATCATTTAACCATATTCAATTCCAGTGCTCTACTAACTCTGACCTTAGATCTGATAATCATCAGAGTAATTTTTTTTTTAAATTGAAATGTTTTATCTGATTTATTCACCTGTGTACCATCAGCTGACCAAGCAATCTTATAAATACTTCCAGTAGAGGGCTTATCAAGACTAACACAACATTTACTTTTTTAGCAAAAATAAAAACTAAATCCCCAAGTTTGAAAGTTTCAGTTTTAGTCTAATGAACCTAATAACAATATTGGTAAGAAGAACAATTTTGGTGCGATGATAGGATGAAAGGAAACCAATTAATGCAAAGTTTTATTTTTATTTTTAGAAACTCATAAAATATTGCTTTTAGAAGAATAACAGGATGAACGGAGAAAAAACACATCTTTAACATTTTAGATACTAATTAAAGGAACTGTAGAAATAAATTCAAGTGACTCATCAAAGACAACTGAATAAAGTCTGGTCCTTTTAAGGTAACACTAAATAAAAAACAACAGACCAAAAAGGAGTTGAGTTCAATTGTCACAAAATCTGATGTTTTAATATGCCTATATCTTTTCAACCCAATGTCGTATAACCTTTAATATTTCAACATATGAAATCTTATAGATCATATACAGTTTAAGTTTGAAAGTATCAAATGTTAATACAATTACCAGGTCGCAAAGATATAGGGCCGGATGAGAATATTTGAGTTGGTGACAAGAACTCAGTTCCTTTGGGTAGATTTTTTATTAGACTGTAGTCAAAAAAAATAAATAACTTTTTTTAAAATAGTTTTTTCCTTAGTCCAACGTTTTTACTGGTCTGACGTTTGTTCTGGTCCGACGTTTGTACTGTTTGACGTTTGTAAGTCTTGGGTTTGTACGGTCCAACGTTTGTGGGTCCAGTACATTTGTGCTGGTACCTAATTGCTTTTGATCGCTTCTAATCTTACTTCCATTTTTTGTCTATAAGGTAAAAATTCTTAAAAACAACTTATAGTGAAGAACGTAGCGTCCATACAAATTCAGAAGTTGTGCAATATTCGACTCGGATCGTAAAAAATCAATTTAATTTCGAACAAATCATTCAGATATTACAACCTATAATCATCGATTATTTTTTGACGTATTCGTAAATAGTTCATAATATTTATAATATATTTTATGTACAATGCACTTAAAACGACGTTTTTTCTGCTAGGTGTCTCTGCTCTCGATGCTTTGAATGATTTGAACGTGGCAGAGACGTTTATTGCAACTTTCTGAATTAGAATGGACGCTACGTTCTTCAGTTCAGTATAAGCAGTTTTTAACAATTTTTTCCTTATAAACGCAACATAGATAGAAGTAAGATTAGTAGCAATCAAAAGCGATTATTTTTACCGTAAGCCTATACCTCCTTTCATTTTTCGCGAACACTCCCTTTAAGTAAGAATATTTAATCTGATAAAGACTTGTTAATGAATGTAAATGTTCCTATGGGACCACCCAATCTTATCACAAAGACGAAGAGTATTAAAGGACCCAACTGCAAACATTTCTCCATCTCCACTCCAGGATATACTAGAAATAATACAGGAGTAAAGGGACTGCACCCTCCAGGATATACTAAGTATAATACAGGATTAAAGGGACTGCTCCCTACAGGATATACTAGATATAATATAGGAGTAAAGGGAATGCTTTCTCCAGGATATACTGGATATAATACAGGAGTAAAGGGACTGCTTTCTCCAGGATATACTAGATATAATACAGGAGTAAAGGGACTGCTTTCTCCAGGATATACTAGATAAAATACAGGAGTAAAGGGAATACTCTCTCCAGGATATACTAGATATAATACAGGAGTAAAGGGACTGTTTCCTACAGGAAAAACTAGATATAATACAGGAGTAAAGGGACTGCTCCCTCCAGGATATACTAGATATAATACAAGAGTAAAGGAACTGCTTTCTCCAGGATATACTAGGTATGATACAAGAGTTAAGGGACTGCTCCCTCCAAGATATACTAGATATTATATAAGAGTAAAGGGACCGCTTTCTCCAGGATAAACTAGATATAATACAGGAGTAAAGGGACTGCTCCCTTCAGGATATACTAGATATAATACAAGAGTAAAGGAACTGCTTTCTCCAGGATATACTAGGTATGATACAAGAGTTAAGGGACTGCTCCCTTCAGGATATACTAGATATGATACAAGAGTAAAGGGACCGCTTTCTCCAGGATAAACTAGATATAATACAGGAGTAAAGGGACTGCTCCCTTCAGGATATACTAGATATAATACAGAAGTAAAGGAACTGCTTTCTCCAGGATATACTAGATATAACACAGGAGTAAAGGGACTGCTTTCTCCAGGATATACTAGATATAATACAGGAGTAAAGGAACTGCTTTCTCCAGTATATACTAGATATAATACAGAAGTAAAGGGACTGCTTTCTCCAGGATATACTAGATATAATACAGGAGTAAAGGGACTGCTCCCTCCAGGATATACTAGATATGATACAAGAGTAAAGGGACTGCTCCCTCCAGGATATACTAGATATGATACAAGAGTTATGGGACTGCTCCCTCCAGAATATACTAGATATGATACAAGAGTAAAGGGACTGCTCCCTCCAGGATATATCAGAAATAATACAAGAGTAAAGGGACTGCTTTCTCCAGGATATACTAGATATAATACAGGAGTAAAGAGACTGTTCCCTCCAGGATATACTAGATATAATACAGGATTAAAGGACTGTTCCCTCCAGGATATACTAGATATAATACAAGAGTAAAGGGACTGCTTTCTCCAGGAAAAACTAGGTATAATACAGGAGTAAAGAGACTGCTCCCTCCAGGATATACTAGATATAATACAAGAGTAAAGGAACTGCTTTCTCCAGGATATACTAGGTATGATACAAGAGTTAAGGGACTGCTCCCTTCTCCAGGATATACTAGATATAATACAGGAGTAAAGGGAATACTCTCTCCAGGATATACTAGATATAATACAGGAGTAAAGGGACTGTTTCCTACAGGAAAAACTAGATATAATACAGGAGTAAAGGGACTGCTCCCTCCAGGATATACTAGATATAATACAAGAGTAAAGGAACTGCTTTCTCCAGGATATACTAGGTATGATACAAGAGTTAAGGGACTGCTCCCTCCAAGATATACTAGATATTATATAAGAGTAAAGGGACCGCTTTCTCCAGGATAAACTAGATATAATACAGGAGTAAAGGGACTGCTCCCTTCAGGATATACTAGATATAATACAAGAGTAAAGGAACTGCTTTCTCCAGGATATACTAGGTATGATACAAGAGTTAAGGGACTGCTCCCTTCAGGATATACTAGATATGATACAAGAGTAAAGGGACCGCTTTCTCCAGGATAAACTAGATATAATACAGGAGTAAAGGGACTGCTCCCTTCAGGATATACTAAATATAACACTGAAGTAAAGGGACTGCTCCCTCCAGGATATACTAAATATGATACAGGAGTAAAGGGACTGCTCCCTCCAAGATATACTAGATATAATACAGGAGTAAAGGGACTGCTCCCTCCAGGATATACTTAATATAGTACAGGAGTAAAGGGACTGCTCCCTCCAGGATATACTAGATATATACAGGAGCAAAGGGACTGCTCCCTCCAGGATATACGTATTTTGATACAGGGGTAAAAGGACTACTCCCTCCAGGAAATACTAGATATGATACAGAAGTAAAGGGACTGCTTCCTCCAGGATATACTAGATATAATACAGAAGTAAAGGAACTGTTTGCTCCAGGTTAAAAAAGGGGTAAAATGACTGCTCTCTCCAGGATGTACTTATTTTGATACAGGGGTAAAGGGACTGCTCGCTCCTGGATATGCTTATTATTATACAGTGATAAAGGGACTGCTCGCTCAAGATATCTTTCAGTCATATTAATTTAATAAAAATCATAGTTTTCATATTTTTTTTCTTGAAGTAAAAGTTCCGGGGATAAAGTTTAATTTTCAGGAATGAGCAGAACTCATTTGATTACAATAACACACTAAAGTCCCCTGGATCTACCTTGTAATCGGATAATCATGAGCTGAGGATGAGTAGAGCTGTCTACCGAACCCGTCCCATACTTTATACTTACAATCCTCAGCACCGGACACTATCCTGGAGTTCGAAGCAGACCAATCACAGCACAGGATCAATCCGTCATGAGCTAGTAAAAAAGTATATGAAAATTAGTTTTAAAAAAATAGATCATAGAAATACAAAAAAAAATCCTATGGTTGGTCTATAGTCAATTAGTTTTGTGAGGGTGTTTCCAGACGATATGTTTACTGTTTAGAGTAAAAAGCTACAGGTTTAATAGTATAAACCTACCTTTTCAGACAATAGGTTTAGAATAGGGAGCCAGATGTTTAATAGTCAGGTTTGTTCCTAGTAATATAAACCTACCTTTCCAGACAATAGGTTTAGAGTTAGGAGCTAAAGGTTTGATGGTAAGGTTTGTTCCTAGTAATATAAACCTACCTTTCCAGACAATAGGTTTAGAGTTAGGAGCTAAAGGTTTGATGGTAAGGTTTGTTCCTGTAGAGAAAAGAACATGCTGGGAATCAGGAGACCAGCTTACACAGTAGATTGGAGAAGACTGGGTAGATAGAGTAGATCGGAGCATTCCAGACCTTTAAAGAAAATATAGTTAGAAATTTAACCATACCCCACTATATTAACTTTAGAATTAAAATCCCCACTATATTAACTTTAGAATTGAAATCCCCACTTTATAAACTTTAGAATTAAAATAGGGGAGATTCAGATATGTCCATTCCTTTGACCAGATTTTAACTTTTCCATTACCGTGACCAGATACGGCTCCATTACCGTGACCAGATACTGCTCCATTACCTTGAACAGATACTGCTCCATTACCTTGACCAGATACTGCTCCACTACCTTGACCAGATACTGCCCCATTACCTTAACCATATTTGTACTGCTTCATTATATTGACCAGATACTGCTCCATTACCTTGACCAGATACTTATCCATTACCTTGACCTGATAATGCTCCATGTACCTTGACCACATACTGGTCCATTACCTTGACCATTTTTGTACTCTTTCATTACCTTGACCAGATACTGCTTCATTAAATTGGCCAGATACTTTTCCATTACCTTGAACAGAAACTGCTCCATTACCTTGACCAGATACTGCTCCATTACCTTGACCAGATACTGCTCCATTACATTGGCCAGATACTTTTCCATTACCTTGACCAGATACTGCTCCGTTACCTTGAGCAGATACTGCTCCATTACCTTGACCAGATACTGCTTCATTACCTTGACCAGATACTGCTCCATTACCTTGACCAGATCTTTACTGCTCCATCCTCCCCTCCGGTAACTATTCCCGCTCCATCCCAGCTCCATCTTCCTGTCAAGCAGGCTCCTCTGAATATTGATTAATTGATAAATATATTTGATTCACATTTTGGATAATTTGCACTTTTTTTTAGGTATTGACATAAATATTCAAAGTTGCACTTGTTTAGGAGTTACTGGCAAAATAGTTCTCGATTTTTGCGTGAGAGCGTAAAAGCGCAGCGACCTCAGGTGGGCGGCTGGCTGATTTCTATAAAAAGTCACAAATCAATCTCTCTTAGTGCACATCTTGGTTTGCAGTGTCTAACGGAATGTTAAAAATACAGAGTTTTTTTTTTAAATTATATGCACCGAATTCACAAAGTATTTTGTTGAAAAATGGTCATGTTTAAATTCTATATGTACGCGCTTTTGAGAACTGCAGTTTTTTTTTGTCTGTTTGAGGTCAAACCTTTTGTGTGGAGTAACTTTAATCTTGAACGCTTGATGTCGATATCCAAATCCTAAATTTGAGGATCAAAGCTTGATCCTTTAATTAAAATTATTCCTACAGTGTATGCTCACAACGGAATATTAAAGTTTCTCACTTCTTGATATCAATGTGGGCACGTTTAAATTCGAGGATGAATACTTGATCACTGCAGGGTATTATAGTCATTTGATATAGAAGAGAAATAGATTAACTGGCAGGTCTGCACTAGATAGAGATCAATGCTTGATGACAAGATCAAAAAACACAGAAGTTCTGATTTCTGATCATATTAACTTCAGTTTCAAGGTGATATAAATTAAAACCTCGAAAACTCCCATCTGCCACATTCAGATTTGTTTAGGTAATATTGATACAAAAACAATTGTTTAATTTTATCGTTGTTAAATATTACAATTGTGAGACAAAGATTAACTTATAAAAGAAAGTTATCATGCTTAATCTGTAACCTGTATATTCCCATAGTTTCCATAGCATCAATCCGTTTACTCTACCTATGTGCATCCACTGGTTTCTCCAGCCTTCCTCCCTTTCCAACCAGCTGTAGCTTTCCTTCTGCTGATGTTAGAAGGAAGGTATCAGCAGCTCTCTTCCCCTTCCCTCCCTGTCCCCCTGATCTAGGTAGCCAGTGCATATCTGTAGGATGGAATTCCTCCGGTAGATCGGATACCTTAGCAAATATTAAATTATCTGTCAGGGGACATTAGTTCCAAACCGCGATTTGGCCAACTTCTAACCCAAAGTGTTAGAAAAGGGTCATAACTGGGGCTGGGCAAAGTTTCGTTAACGAAATGGATGTTTTCTAAAATTAACGGAAGATTCCGTTAAGGAACGACAAAAACCGTTTATTTTTAAATTGTTAACGAAACGGATTAGCCGTTTTTAAAAAAAATAACGGTAAAAAAAGTTGACTAAAAAGCTAAAAACGGTAAATTTTGTTATTTTCTGATTAAAATTGCATGATTTTTTTTGATTTAATCATTTTACGCGTTTTGATGTTTTTAAATGTCATCTTCTGGGTTTATAACGAATTTTTTTACGCCATTAACGCTGTTAATACTGTAATATACCGTTAACAATTTTTTTAACGGTTAACGAAATTTTAATGTTAATACTTTAATATACTGTTAACAAAATTTTTATATATTTTTAAAAGTTGGAACGTGCTCAGCCCTAGTTATAACCCACTTTTTAAACTGAAGTCAACTGCACTCTGTGCAGTTCAGCACCTTTTTTTTAGGCACTCGGAGAATTAAAGCTTAAAACAATATTTTGTAGGTATTTATTCCTTTCCTTTGTTTGTACCAAACAGATTATTTTTATGTTATGGTTATAAGTTATATTATGTAATGTGAAACATGCATGAAAAGCAGCAGGTTGACTATATTGTTCTTTAAACTTCGTACAAAATATTTAAATGTCATATTTTTGGGGGGGTAAAAATAATGTTGTAAATAATAATAAAGATAAAACAAACCTTCTGAGTTTCTGCTGTAACAAGGTTCCACCTTAAACAGGAAAATCAGAATTATGGTAAATTTCTACATGTTGAACCTGAAATCTATGGAATGGAAAGACGAATTTTAAGTCAATAAACACGAGATACAGTAATTGTGCAGTGTAAACATACACACTTCAGTTAAAAAGTGATTTTAGAAGTTACCATAGTAAAACTATTTGCTTTGTAACAGCATCAAATAAACTTAGCGTTCATGTCGTCTTCGTATTCCACGGTTTTCTGATTATTACTGTGTTAAAAAGAGCTAAAGTTTCAAATAGCGCCAAAAAAAGGCTATCGCCATGAAAAAAGCGAGAAAAATCCAAGAGAATAATAGAAGAAAAATAACAAAAAGTAAATAATTCAAATAAACAGCAAAAGGCTGAAAGATGAGCGGATGAAGTAAAATTAAATTATAATTAAAAGGGATAAGGATCACTACTCAAATCTGATCAAAAATCTGATCATTTTATGTTTTTTCTTGGCCAAATAAATCTAAGTACAGCCAAGAAAAATAAATGCAAGGGCAAAACTTGGCTTGGTTTGTAGGTTATTTAGCTCTGTGCACAAACAAAAATATATGCAAAAAGCCCATTTAAGTTTCTCCCATGGTCAGATTTAGAGATAAAGTTTTCAAAACATCTATAAATTATCTTACAATCATGATAAACAGATTTGGTAATTCGTTTAGTAAATGCTCCTGATAGGTTTTAACTATTTTCTACAAAATCGACCCAAAATTGTTAAGATTATGGCCTTTTCAGGCTAAAAATAGGAAACATAGAGCTAAATAACCTATAAAACGAAGCCAATTTTTGCTCTTGCATTTATTTTCTTGGATGTACACATTAGATTTAGTTCTTAATGTGAATTAATCAATATTTGAATATTTGGTCAAGGAAAAACATAAATTGATCAGATTTTTTGAACAATTTGATAAATCCAAGACCTAATATTTGAGTAGTGGGATGTAATTTATAGAGTTAAAGAATAAACAATAATGAAAATTGAGCCAAGGGAGATAAAATTGGGGGTAATTGTGACATCTCTTACTTAAAATAAACACTTTTTAGAGAAATTTGGTTTATTGAAAGTTTTGCGGTTTTTCTTTATTTCTCGATTATTCAAATTATGGAAAAAATGTAAATGTTGAAAACTGGTGAGCTGTGCTAACCTATAAATAAGATGATCATCTCCTGCACTGAACACATCATCAGGACTTGCCCAGCCTACACAGCTAACCAGCTCACTGTGTGTAGCTTCTTTTATATTAGACGTTTTAAATCTCATTTTATCTAGATATTTATTCATTTATTCATTTTATCTAGATATTTATTCATTCATTCATTTTATCTAGATATTTTTTTTATTTATTTATTTTATCTAGATATTTATTCATTTATTCATCCTATCTGGATATTTTTTCATTCATTTATTTAATCCAGATATTCATTCATTTATTCATTCTTCCTATCTACAGGATGCTAGTAAAAAAAGATTGATTAACGTCCTCTTCTTCTAAACAATTGTTTTTCATGAAATTTTTATGAAACAGATTCAATGTGAATTGTTTAGCTGTTCATATGAATAACACAGTTAACAGTTGCACATTGATTTAAATGCACTCAATATACGTCAACTTTGAAATACAAAGAAGGCAGACCACATTTGAGAAGATTTGATACTTTCTTATAGTCATCTATCTGAAATCAACTAATATTTTCTTATTTCGTCTCTAAGATCCAATAGATGTTATTCCGGAATCCTGAATATCAGATCAACAAAGTTCTGTTTTATTTATGTATAATTTTATTTTTTGCACCTGACCTTGACAATTATTTAAACATTTTACCCCAAATCAAAATAAACAATCTTAATTGGCTTAATTCTGACGTCGGTAAGTCTATTTATATTGCTTTGAGCTAATAATTGGGATACAAATATTTTTTAAATAACATGATTTTTCGAATAGCATGGCTACAAATACGTAATGCCTTCTGCATCTATAACTTTACTTAGTTAATTTGTATTGTTATTGTTATAAGGTTTAACAGAGTCTAAAGCCGTAACTGTAAACATATTTGAAAGTCAAGGAATGTGAAAATATTTATTGAAAAATATATTCCTGCTTTCCCCTTACTATTTCCAGGTAGAGACCATTAGTTAAAAACCACGAATAGAAAAGACGACATTAGTTTATGTCTTCCGTTGCGGATTTTCTAAATTCTAAATAAAGTTGAAAAGTTTATAAATAATAGAATATTCTACGAATTCTATTATTGTAATGAAACTTAGAATGTTTTATCAAAAGTTATTGATTTAAGTGACACTATAAGGAGAAAGCTTTTAACTTTGTAATGCAAACCTTATACATGAATATACTGGAATATACATACATTAACGGATAATATTTTAATGACGACCAAAAACTAAAGATTAAATCTAGTTTTAAGGAACGACGACGACAATAATTTCACAATTTTGTATGTTTATTTCGAATCTTGTAACATGATTAATTATGACTCCTTTTCGTTTCTTTTAAAATTGGCGAAATTACAATAAAAATTGTAATTTGGAGTAATTAGGACAAGAAGGATTCTAATCTTTTTATTAATTTTGCATTTAATAGTTTAAAGTAGATTTAATTGCGAAAACTAGAATTATATTGTGTCAGTATATAATTAAATACCACTCTTTTGGTTTAAATGGATCAGGGTCTTACATAGGAATTTATCAGGGGAGGAGGCTATAATTTTTTTTTACTTTCCAGGGGGATCACAACCCGTTGGAAACCTCCTAGAAACCAAAGATTTCACTGGGGGGGGGGGGTGTTTGCGCCCCAATAACCCATCCCCCTTAATACGTCTTTGCTACAGATGAAACAAATATTCAAAGATAGAGAAAAAAATTTACAAAGATAGCTAATGCACGCAATATACAATAAACATGAGTGAACTAAGACTTGTATGTTCTTTACATATTTATGTTGTATATCTTTTAAATGCACTTATAAACAGGAGGAGAAGGTAGTAACATTTATGCGACATTAATGTTATGACCTCGCAGCTGCCCTAGTTTTGTACAGCGATAACCAGAAAAAACTATAAAGACGAATCGATAATATTTAAATAGTTTCAATGTACTACCAATAGTCAGCCGTTTTGTCGTTTATTGGATACAAACAAACAGACACCCAGACACCCAGACAAGCAAATTATATATATAGAAGAGAACATGTTCACAATTGAAATGTAAAATGTAAAATGTAAAAAAAATGTAAATTTTTAGCTCAAATACTTTTGAGTTATCGCAAACACCCAGCCCGAATAGGAGTATTCAAAGAATATTTATTGTTATTAACAAAATGGATTCTAGGATAAAAATGTGTAAAACTGATTAAAAAAGAATAGATAAGACAGATGCAATTAATATTTGATTATTCTTTAACCGATTACTGTAAACCTGTCTGGTTCTCACTGGAGATGTGTTTTATTATTCATTATACAAGTCCTTGGGTTTTTTCCTTAAAGTTTTCAGTTAACAACTGTTGAAAGGGACTGTGAGCGTAATTTCTAGTGACATGCAAAGATATCAATGTCTGATGTACATGCAGTACCCTTAAAATCTTTGTCTTATAAAAGTATGAATTAGATATCACTCTTTATAATTTTGAAAATAGATTTATTCTAATTGTGTTTTCTCTTCAAAACTTTACTTGCGCATTTCTACTGCTGGAAAACATATAGGAGTTCTCAGAATAAATCGTTTCAAGCTAAAATAGCGGAATTAAATTTCAAATTTTGATTAGATAAAAGATTTCGATGGTACCGTTGTGAATGCGGTATCGTCCTCATGCACGGATGTTCATTTGAAATTTTTTTTGAGATCTAGATATTTATTATCTCCGTATCGAGATTATATTAATTGTACAAAATTGTTCACATATATTTAATACAACTCTTTTAACGATGCTATTGTGTACATATATTCTCAAATTAAATAATAAAAAATCGTACGGATACATTTTATCGTTTTTTCCTTTCATTAGGAATTTTGATTTAGGGATACTTGGATCCTGCAAAACATACAAATTGAATAGTGCAAAAATGAAACTGCATAGAATAAATTGCATAAAGTTAGTCGGTGAAGAAGATTTAAGAATCGTCTGCATATAATTGAGCATTTAATGTGGAAAATCAGATTGAGCAAGCATNAAAAAAAAAATTCGAGTCTGTCGGGGTTTTAATTAAGCATGTTGATGGAGTTCTAATTCTGGAGTTAACGTTTAGAAAAAAATAATTTTTTTTGAAGTTATGAAATTAACCTTTTTTTTAAAAAATTAACATTGTAGGTCCAAACCTGGAGTGAGTTTACATAATTTAAGATCTTAGAATTCTATTGAGTACTTTTACGTCAGTTTCAGTTCGAAAGTTTCAACATTTACAGTCCAAAATGGTCCGTGTGCACACCCCTGCTCTCTGTATGATAAAAGGTTTAGGACTTATTAATGATGAAGAGGATCCAGTGTTCAACGGGGACCTTTGGAATTATAATTTTTTACCGTTATTCTTCACCGAGGATTACAGCTGTGAGGTCTCCCAGATCCTCTGGGGTCTCCCAGATCCTCTGGCGTTCAGGTCCTGGTATTATATTCCCTTTAAACCAGTTTCTCTATCATTAATAATTTAAACTTTTCTTATTACTTTGTCCTGCAAAAAATCCAATTTTTATGAAAATATATAAATCCCACCGGTGAACATTTAAAATTTACAGATTCATCATCATTTATTATTAATCTTGACATTTGAAAATAATAAAAATGAAATATAAATGTTTGCAGATTCTGCAGACGTTCATCTGATTTTTAAATATTTTTTTTAATCATGTTGCACATTAAAAATTTATGAATTTATTTGAACAAATTGAATCTACCATGCTTTAAAAACAACTAAAATTTTATTTTTAGATCTTTATGTATATAAAAAAACAAGTTTTTGCAATAACGTCATAAAAAGCATTTCTTTAGAACACGTTTCTAAACGGTTTAAATCAATTGTAAACTTATTCTATTTCCGATATTATACAATCTCATTCTTCATACGATATTGTTCCTATATTATTATATACTAAATATACCTTAAATATTTCAAACAATGCATTCTGCTATATCAAAAATCAAAGCTTGAACCTTCAAAGGTTTACACTATTAGGTTGCAAAGATATAGGCCATAGGGATTAGCAAATTTGAATTTGTGCCTAAGGCTCAATGCCTGAAAACACTTTGTGAAAAAAATAATGATTTAAATAGCTTCCGTCTGGCTTCAGAATCTTAAACAACTTTAAAATATTCTTTATTTAGTGAATACATTTATAAACAGGAGGAACTAATCTAATATTGTGGAAATGTTGAACCCAAATTGAATCTAAATATGCTTTTTGATTTGGTTGTTTTTGGCTTAGTAATCTTGATATTAAAGGAAGGAAGAGATAATATCAATAATTAATGTGAACAACGTTTTCCATATTATTAAAACCATTCCTTTTTTAGTTAAACAGTCTAATAAATTGAACACAAAAATACAGAGCTACTTATTTTTAGTGTCTTTTTCCTTATATTTCCTCTAACCCTGTAAAGGCTAGGGGTTCTAAATCTTTTTCAAGGCCTTATTAAAAATTAAGGTTTTAAAATGTAGCTTTAACAAAAATAGTTGTGGGGGCGTCCCACAACCCGCCCCCCCCCC